TTTTTTGAGGAAACTATTTTTTGTATGACCCAGTTACCGCCACATTCTGTCACCCTGTCTCTCCTCTCTGGTACTGTCAAATATCTCCATGAAACATTTTTATCTGCCATCAGTTCTCTCTGTAATGTACTATTCTGGTTTTGGTCTTCATCTCTCCATTGATATCACATTATTAAAAGTCACTGGGGAGCTCTGAGTCACAACTGTTTTTATCTTTCCACCTTCAATAGCCTAAAAACATCTCTAGAGCCCTTGACTACTGTTGACTTTCCCTATTTTTATTCTTGCCCTTCTACTCCATGACCCCAAAATAGCCTGTTCTTCCTTCTTTAAAGCATCTCAAGCATTCTCACAGGTTTTGTCCTCTCTAGCTGTCCCAAAGTGTAATCCTTAGTATTTTCCTTTTCTGTTTCCCCTAATCCACCCCTCTCAACATTCAACAGACTTTTATTCTCACCTCTTGGCAACTTAAAGTCAAATCTATAATGCTCAGCGAACCCCTCTCCCAGTTTTCAACATATCATATTCAACTTCACAGTCAATTCCTTCTCTTGGACACTTGACTCAAATTCCTGAAGAAGATGTATTTTTTTTTTTACCTGAACCCACACCTAAATTAGTGGGGACAGCAACACCTCAACCCTAGCAATGGTTGCCATACAAAAATGCTGACACATATTTTGCTTTTTTCCAGAGATACCCCAGAATTGAGTTGCTAAAGAAAATTTACATTACTTTCTGTGTTTAAATATTGACTACTTAAAAAACAAAAAAGCAGCTCGAGTCAAACAAAATATATTTGATTATTACCCAGAGCCTAAAAAATTAATGCAAATATTTTCACTTCAAATGGCAAGACTTCAAAACCCATCCTGAAACCACCTTCTAAATTCAAGTACCAGTAACTCAAAATAACCACTACAGGCCACTGGTCTACTATATTATTGTCCAAGCCTGCTTGGCCCTTTCTTACCTCTCTGTTTCAGTCCTGCTGTTCCCCACAAAGAAATGTTTCTCATCTATATGCTTTTAAGATCTAGGTCAAATGCTACCTTTTTCTGAAAATTTCCTGGACCACAATAATTTATGGGAAATCTCTCCGATATTCCCTTATAGCACCTTGTGTCAGTCACAGTCCTAAACATTTTACAAGATATTTCCTATCCTATAAAGTCCTAATGCTGATTCTTAATATTAACATTATTCTCATTTCACTAATGAGGAATATTAAAACTTGCCCAAAGTGGCCAAGCTCAACTTGAACTCAAACCACTATTTCACTGCAGACAGAGAAGTAGGCCATTCCGTTTTGGTCATTCACAACATGACTTGTGTTACGCACTAGGAAAAAAAAAAAAATGAATCCTAATATGACAGAGAAACCATGCACAGAATGTCTGTCGTGCTTTCTTGATCATTTCCTTGTCATTCCTTCAACACGGTCATGCTTTCTTTCCATTTCTACAACTCACAGAGCGGTACATACCTCATTACCTTTTGATCTGCTGCTTTACTTGTTTGAAATGTTCCCACCCTCTTTTCATTTCTCATGAATAATCTCTACTAACTGTTGACTCAGGTAAAATACTGTTTCCTCAAGACTCCTTCAATGATCCTTTTAGAGGATACTGTGTTAGCCATTGCATTTAAGAATATCCACTGCAATTTTAAATAATAAGTATTTTGTATTATTTATTTACTGTATGAGTCCCTGTTGTTATGCGGTGAGCTCCTTCACGAACTTTCTTCATTCTCTGTGCTATACAGAGTGAATGATTGACCTACTTTAACTCTTATGAGTTAAAATGTGGAGGGATTAAGCTACTTATTTCAGAGCTAGAGTAATGGGGAATCTTGCATGATGAAAATGGACACTATTTCCATTAGAGAAATGTTAACCTGAAATTATTTTGTAAAAAGATGTATGTAGTTAACAGCCTTTTCCTTTTCATTTTTTTGTCACAGCTAATCCATATTAAATCTTAAAACAAACAGTATGGGAGAATCCCATCATTGAATATTATATAAATCAAAGTAACTAACACATGGGGTTGCCAGGTTTCCATAGAAAGGGATTATCAGTGACTCAGATGGCATTGTCCATCACAGCGTCTAAGTGAAAGTGAGTTGTCTGTTCCTCAGAGAATGGTGGCTGGATTTTCATTTAGTATGGGAAGCAGGAGACAGAGTAAAAACATCCATTCTGATGTTCCATGATTAGGGAAACTAGAAAGCATTCCCATGTTTTTATCTCATTCCTTATAGTTGTTTAAATTCTCCATAGCAGAGACGTTATTATTCAAAGCCAGGAAATAGCCACCATATTGTGAGAAGAAATAATTCTTCACAAATTCCTAAAGTACCTAATTTTAATGGGGACTTGGTTTTCAAAGAGCTTAACAGTACAGTGTGGACAATGTATTTTATAGGATGATTTAATGTAATGAAATTTTTTTCAGTATATCACTCATAAAGATTTCTATTCTATGTTCACACCACTACATATCTGCAAACTGCTATTGTGTAGCTTACCACTGTGAAGGCTAATATGCAATCCTAAGCAATATTGAGGCTTTTGATGAACCTGTGGATTCTAAGAGGAATTTACGTTCATGAAAAACAAACAGGCAAGCTTATAATGAAGAAGGAGAATCCCTCTTGCCTCTGGGTAGAGAAGGGTCACCTGAGACTAAGACTGTAAGTCAGGTTCCCTAGGAGAGAACAATGATCTGGTGCAACCCTCACCCCCTACACCCGATATTCTGCTTAAGGACTTGGCTGTCAGTATCTCCCTTCTCCATATCCCAGCTTTAAAGGAAACAAGCTAAACACCTTCATACCAAATTGTGCCTGATTGACTTACCACCTCCCAAGAGCCGTAGCAGCAAATCACCAAATCTATGCATCCTTTTAGTTAACTGTGACTTAAAAAAAAATCATTTCAGCTCTGCACGCTGATTCTTAAATATATAACACCAAATATCAAAAAAAGAAAAGGACAGTCACTTTGTTTTTCGATTTTGTAGAAAACTGTTAACCAATGAAGATCACCTGTAAAAAGGTGTCCAATGCCGTAATAGATTCAAATCGAAACCACTTACTGAATTGTTTAAGATTAGATGTATAGTCTACTTCTCTCTACTACTCTGCTGACAGTCAAACTTCTCAGTAAGATTGAATCGCTCTTTAAATAACTACAGATTCAGACTTATCTTTTATTCATTTTGATCACCTGGACTGCTCTAAGACACATATGCTATGTCTTCAAGAGTGCAAGGTGAAGAATTCATATAACATATTATCAGTTATCTATGACCTACAAGACTGAATTTCTGAAAGAGAAGAACCCAAAACTTATGACTAAAAATCATTTATGTGCATGCTTTTAGAAAATATGGGCAAACAACTAAAGATAAAGAAAGGATAGGAGTTTTTGCAAGCATTGTCTATTTGATGGAATCTTTGGCTTTCACATATTCTGTGGACCCTCACACAATTCCCATTGCTTCTCCAAACCCCGCTAACACTCCAGAAATCTGTTTTTTCCCTTCCACTGACAATGCCATGGCCTTATGACTAGTATACACTGGTTTTTACTGGGACAATTCCAGTGACTTCTAAATGGAGCTCTCTGAATACCATTTCATGGGAGGGATGCCCCATGAATTAAATAATGTATCATTTAATTCATGTGTCGATTAATTTCAGTGTCATACTTTATGAAAGATATGTGGACACACGACTTTGGGAACAGACTTTTAGGAGAGGCAATAACCTCTGTTTTGAGCTGAGAAATACTAGGAAAGTTCATGCTCCTAAAATAACAAAGATACTGCTTCTAATATTTGTAGATTCTATCTCATTCAAGATACGGTCTCAATTTCCTACTCAGTCAAATCGCATACAATTTCCGTATTTGTATTTGAGAAATCTAAAGCACAGAGAGATTAAGTAGCTTGCCTGTGAATACAGAGGCAGTATCTGTAAAACTCAGAACACAAGTCAAGTGCCACAGACCCAGTTCCCATGTTCTCAATCATCACAATTGAAAGACAGAGACCATATTTTACTCATTGGTGTTTAGCTCATGTCTGGTTCACGGCCAGATATGTGAAAGGGGGTCGGTCAAGCAGTACGAAAAAGTGAGCTAGAAGGAAAGGGTGCTCACATTCTAAAGGAAAAACCATTTGAAGAGTCCCAACCTGAACCATCACCTTCCTTAAATGATGAACTGACCATGCTATTCTCCCATCTCACTGCTAAGAACTTCAAAAGGAAAATGGGAAACTTCAATGCACTATTTATAAAACATTAACAGGAAATATCCCTCGGTAATAACTATCAGATGAGAGTAACAACACACCCTCTGGCCTCAGCACGTAGTCCAATCAGCAACCACAACGCTCAGTTTCCAGACACTGCTCCTCACCATTCTAGCAAGTGTGGTATTTAATCTACTATGTTCCTTTGCTGTTAAATAACCCCTATTACTACTAATATTTGCAGCTCTCAGAGAGACTCAAGTTGGCCTCTACCTTAAGGAGACATACCAACCCTTCCAAAGTTCTCTTAGGTGTGACTTCATTTATCTTTTCCCAACTCTCTTCCTAGGTACAAATGTGTTGTTACTTAGTAATCTTCCTCAGCTTGTTACCTGCTTGCATTTGTTTTTCATGTTTGTTTCCTCCACTAGACTGTCCTGTCCCTGAGGAAAGGTCCTTGTAGTCCTTTAACATCTCAGGGGCAAGCAGGGCCCTGCCACACAGTTAAATTTGTCTGGAAGAAAATGGACTCATAACAGGTAACATGAATCAGTCTTTCAAGATAGGAATGCAAGAGAGCTGACTATGACAGTGAAATAAAACAGAAGTTAAAATATCTGAGTAGATCCCCAGAATCGACTTTCTTTCCTTACGAGAACTTCAGCTTTGGTTCAAAGCACTTGATCTGAGCCGCACGAGAAGTTAAGGGACGTCGGGACTGGTGAAGAAGTCACTCACCAGCTGGTGGAGGGTGGGTGTCTGTTCTCTAGCGTTTTGGTCCACGGCTTGTACCAGCTGATCTGCTCCGCGGCTTGGCCCCAAAACCACTCGGGGTCTGCCACTGAAGCCGCGAAGTGGGTCTTGTACTCGCCGCCCCCGGCAGAGGACAGCGCCCGGCAGCCCCGGCCCCCGAGAGCGCCCCGCGGGATCGGGGCCATGTAAGCCCGGCGGGCCGGGCCGGCTCCGCGGGCCGGACTGGAGCCCGGCAGGGACCCCCCGAGTCCTCCAGCGCCGGTGACTTTACGACATTGCAGCCAAGAAGGCTTCATCGCCGCTGGCTATTCCCCGCAGTTTGCGCAGTCTGCAGTCCCGGGTGCACGTCTTAAGCTACAGTTGGGGCGCTCTCTACTTCCTGGGGCCCGAAGGGAACAAGCGAGAGGCGGGGAGAACTTCTCAGTCAAGCCCACAGTCCAAGAGTTTGGAAATCACGCTAGAATCGCCGGGAAAAACCGACCTGGAGCTGAGTGAAACGCAACAGGCTGGAGTTAGTGCCTGGGCCGGGGTGGAAAGGGGTCACCAAGTCATTTTGGAAAGGTGTGCGAGGCTCTGCAAGAAATCCAATCCCCGATGCATTTCCAAGCCCGAGGCTGTCCCAAGAAAAGCGCCCTCCAGCTGCTGAACGCCCTCCTTTCCTGACAAGACTCCTAGGACGAAGCCAAGGAAGCCAACTCGATCTGTTTTTAAACAAGCAAGTTTAGCTCAATCTTCAGGTTTGATCTTCCGAGCTCCAGCCGGAGGCGGCGGCAAAATCTGCGGTTTACAGCGGCAACTAGCAACCCTGGGCTTTTAGGCAAGGCCCAGGAAGTGTTATTTATGTCAGCGTACTTTCAACTCAGTTCAACCTCTGGTTATTTAAAATGCAAAGCAGTTCCGGGCAAGAATTGCTCCAGGATTTCCTGATGGCTGAGAGGGTAGGCGGAGTAAAAGGAGGTGGTGCCAGTTAGATTGGGATCCTTCTTGGGGTGACTGACCAGACACTGGGGAAGGTAACCCAACTAGGATAAAGATTCACCTGCTGACTGACTGGACTCACCACATGATCTAGAGAAAAGCAGGATGGACTGGTTGCATTTCCTTCCTTTCAGTTTGGCTCTTTGGTGTTTCTGTGGCTTTTTCTCTGCTAGGAGAAGAAAAAGCATAAGCTCTACTATAGATGAAATACAAGAAAGCTGAGAAAAATTAGAAGAAAAGTGGTATGAATTTCTGTCTGGTCTAACATCCTGTAATTAAGTCCCTTCGCTGTTTATTATGCTTTATTGAAACTCAAAAGCAAGTGTTTATCTTAATGTGAGGTCAAACACATCCTGTTTTATTGTAACAGTATTTGCTCCTTAAATATAAAGATGTATAATCCCTAATCTAAAGTGAAATAGTGAATGCCCTTGACACTAGAGAGTGTAACAGGGTGGTCCCTAGGAAAAGGGGAAGTTCCAGGTTTGTTTGTTTTTTTAAATAAAAAAACCTGGAACTTCCCCTTTTCCTAGGGACCACCCTGTTACAAGAGGACTGTAAACTTGAGAAACTGAACAGATTGTTCAAGGAAAAGAATATTGCAGAGATAAAGATTAAACAGGAAAAAAAAATAAGTAAGCCTAATACAAAAGCAAAGAAAATTTCTTTAAATAGTCACATCAGCTATTCCCTTTCAACTAAGAAACAAAGCATTAGACTTTTCCCTGACACTAGCAGCCTTCTTTATTCCTTCCAAAGGCCTCAAATCAAATCATTTGTGACAAATGACAAAAGGTGCAAGTCACCACTTGAATCCAGAGAAAGATACAAAGTCATTTCAATTTCTGCCCTCCTCCCTCCCCTGTTCTCTGTCCTATAGCTTAATGCTTCTCTCTGTTACAGAAGATCCCAAGACCCCAAGGATCTCCTTTTATTGTGTTTTGTGAAGTTCAATTCAAACATCTGCTTAACAAGTATGTGAGCACCTTTGCTGCACAGGGTGTAGTTTGTTGGGGGAAGGAACCAGACAGTAATTGGGACCTACTGTATGGGCAATTTGCATGGGCACTTTTAATAAACTAACTCCTGGGATTGTAACAGGGTGGTCCCTGGGAAGAGGGGAAGTTCCGGGTTCCCTGCCCCACCCAGAGGGAGGGTGGAGCTGAGCAGAGAAAAAGGAGAGAAGAGAAGGAAGCTGGAGGGAGAGCCAGAAGGAGACCTGAGAAAGTCACATGGAGCAGCAAGCATGAGATAAAGAAACAGTGCTTGTTTCCTGATTCTGGACTGGTTAAGGCAGATGTGGGTGAGAGACCTGTAGAGAGGTGACTATGGCAGTGTTTATATTGATTTTGATTTTGCTCTTTTCCTCCCAGATTTCTCTGGCCATTTCTGACCCTTTTCCATGGGTCCTGGCCAGAAGGTGCTTTAGTCTTGTGGCAGGCTTTCAGGCCTTGCTTTGGGCCAATCCCTTTTGGGTTGGCTTTTGCCCACGAGGAGATGGGTAACTTCAGGTGTTTGATTTAGAAGTTATATTCTTTGTGTTCCATATTGTATATTCACTGAATTAAAGTCACTTTTCATTAAAACTTTATATGTTTTGTCTTCTTGCGGCGGATAGCAGAACCCACTTAGAGCAGGCAGGTTTGGGGCTTCAGGGGTGCCCCTCCCCCCCTGTCCTGTAACAGATTTGGGGAGCCCTATAACAGGATTACAGGAAAGAATTAATGAAAAGTGTGATTCTCTACCTCTAAGTGATCTGCCATGTTGTAAACCCATGATATCTCAATTCAAAAAGTGAAGCGGAAACAATTCCCCCCCCCCCATGTTTATAAATGGAATGTAGGTTAACTCTCTGGAGGTCATGCAGTTGACAAACAAGAGTTAGAATTCAAACTTTGTTGGTTCTCAAAATCTGGTAACCAGTGCGCTTTGAGTTAGAGGTATGCCAGATGAGTGGGGGTGCTTTCTAGCATTGGGCCCACTCAAAGACAGTCTGCTTCAGCACTGACATTTACCCAAGCACATTCTACACATTTTTTAAAAAAAGATTTATTTATTTATGCTTACAGAATCGGAGTACAGGTCAGAGGTACAGTGGGAGGATTCACCAGAGACAGATTAGGGAGCAGAACAGGCAGATCTACTAAAATATGCTGCTGAGGAGAGCAATGGGTGGGTCAGGAGAGGTCTGCCACACCATGTGGGTCAGCTCCCTGGCCAGTGATCAAACTCATGCTGCAGTGGTTTCAGAGAGCTTCATAATTCAGTGTTTTAACCCGTTGTGCCACCAGGGAGGGCCTACATTCTACACATTTTATCATTTTCTTCCTGTGCCACTTGAAAAAGGTAGGTAATCTGACTCTAAGGTCCATGATTTTCTTATTTATCTGATTATCTTCTTAATTAAAAAAAAATAACAAAGATTTTAGACTTCTAACAAAGTATGACAAACTGAATATCCAATATTTATTCCTTACCTTCTGAAAACTGGATGAAAATAGAATCAAAGAGAGGTGATGGTGCTGAAATCTTTTTTTTTTTTTTAAGATTTATTTACTTATGCATACAGAAATGGGGTACAGGCCAGAGGTGCAGCAACAGTGAGAGGGTTCACCACACACAGAGTGGGGAGCAGAACAGACCAACTGTCGAAGTACACTGCTGAGGGGAGCAGCTGGGTGACTAGAAGTCTGCCGCACTATGTAGATCACCTCGGGGCAGGGCTCGAACTCATGCTGAAGTAGCCTTAGCTTCTTAGTGCTGTGCTTTAACCTGCTGCGCCACCAGGGAGGGCCCAGTGGTGCTAAAATCTTATAAGGACGAACAGAAAGGGGAGGAGAAGCCAAATGAGAGACAAAATGGATTGGGTTCATAATAATGACTTACGAGAGGGATGGGAGCTGGATTTTACTGCATTTGGGAGAGAAAAATCTATCAATAACTTCCCACATTTTTTACAATAAGAAATATATGTTTAAAATAAAAGTTTATAGTTTATAGTATTTGGAAGAGAAATGTCAACAATCTGGAAAGTCTCAGTTTTGGAGATGCTGGACTCCTCTAGAATTTCAGAATGAAGATTAGGGACTTGAAAACAAAAGGACATGAAAATATTGATGAGACAAAGTTAGATTCCACATCTGGATGAATCCACTCCCTGGACCCATGCAAGCATTGTTGTTTTGAGTCAAAGGGTGAAGGAAGAGCCCTTAGGGTCATAATAGAATAAGAAAAGCCACCCACGGAGTAAGGAGAATCCAGAGATAAGGGGAGCAAATTCCAAAGGGGACAAATTAAACCCTCCAGGGCTAGGGGCAACAGACATTCCTGGACAAGGAGATAATGGAAAAGAACTCTAAGCTAAGGGCGGGGAACAGAGACTAGTTCTGGGCAAAGAGACATTTAGGCACTGAGTGAAACCATTCACTAACCAACCACAAACAGGCTGGTGGAGCTTTGGACTAATGAGGGAGAGAAGGCCTGACTCCACTACACCTTCTTTGCCCCTCTCTGGCCTAATTTCATTGGCCTGGGAGTCCTACTTTTTTTTCTGTTCCTGTTCTCCTCAGTAAACTTTTTCTTTTTCTGCCTGTTCTCTCTTGCCTGCTTGAACATCAGCAAAGTTCCTACTGAGGCTTTGTCAGACACCAACCCTTTTGGTACCACTGCAGCCTGGGATCCTTTCCCGACTGGAAGACATAGGCCTGAACACCTGAAATGACAGTATCAGCTTGAAGTCACGAAACAAAACAGATTGTAAGCTTCATTTCAAGTCAAGGTGCCCCCTGGCGGGGGTTGCTCTTACAAGGAACACATGGGATTTAAAACCGCTCCTCTGCTAGGAGAAAATGTCCCATTGACATTCTTCTCAGTCCAGTAGTACTCCCAAAATGGGTTGTTTTGCTGGTAAGATTTATCCTCATGCCACAGTGCTAAAATCTTGCTAAATCTTTTACTGCTCATCTTGCTAGTAAACCTAACACTTAATGGTGGGCCCAAACGCCTGTACATGTTACTGAGGGCCCTTTGCCATTGCTATTTCTCACGCTTTAAACCTTAACATACCTTTAAACCTTCACAAACCTTTAAACCTTCACATACCTCATAATCGAATTTGCTTCCTCTTGTCCAGGAGCCGTCAAGTGCCAAGAGAACCAGACAGCCCAGACACCCTACCTACAAGGGCCCGGGATATGGTCTCCCTAACACTAGTCTCTGAGCTACCTAATGTTGCTGGTTCCAGAAGGAGGTATACAGATCATTTTCTCACTCTCCTCTCTTCTCCCTTCGACCTCATTTCTGTTTCCTCTTCATGGAAGCATCTCCTCAAAATCCAGTACTTTTTAGCATTTTCCTGAAGCTATTTGTCTTAACCAGAAGCCCCTCCTGGGGGAGGCACCACCTGCAACAGACCTTGGCTTCAGTCCCAGTAGGGTCTAATAGTAGCTCCTTGGCCTTTAACAATCTGTCAGCTGATCTATCGCTAAACAAGTGAAAAGCTGAAAACATTAACCGTTGACTTT